CAAATATAAATACTTATCTACACTAATACGTATAAACCCAAATGAAATAATTGTTAAGCAATTTTTTCATGTCATTTATTAGGGGTTTGTTTTAAACTATATAGTGATTTTACTACCTTGCACATCTTGTGTTCATTTTCAAGTAGAACAAACAATTCAGGTTGTTCCATATAAACCTTTTAATCGAGATCCTCATTTAAAAATGTCGTCTTGACATTCATTTGATGAACATGCAACTTGTGTATGGAAGCTAATGCGAAAAATATCATAATTAATGTTATTCTAACTACCGGTGCATACGTATCAAAATAGCCAATTCCTTCTTTTTGTCGATAATCTATAACTACCAATCTAGATTTAAAAATAGAATCACGATATATGAACATAATGGTTGACATAATCATNAGTAAATAAGTTGTAGCTTTATTTTAATTTGTTTTGTTTGCTAAAGAAACTGAATGGAAAGCCTTCTGTATATGGGTGTGTGTTGAAAATCATGCTACAATAAGATAATGGTTGACATAATCATTGACATAATACCACATGGCAATTTATCATTGGACTGTTTAAAACACAATCAACTTTTTCAATCAATCACGTCTTGCCAACACTTATTTTGTCAATCATTATGTCATATTTTTCGGGCAAAATAACATTATTCTTAAAAATATTAAGAGAACTATCTACATTATATTTTATCGTAAACACCCATTTACAACCTATAAATTTAGTTCTGGGTAGCAAATTGACAAGTTTTCACGTATTGTTTTATATAATTGAATCCTTCTAATTTTTAATTGCATCTTTCCAAAAGATACTATCACGAGAAGCTATAACTTCTCTATAGGTTTTATGATCAATTTCCACTTGTAAAACAAAAGGTATTGGTCTTAAAACATTTTTCTCATTTTCCTCTACTAAGTAAATAGAAATAAGTTGAGAATCAATTCATCCAATCCTAAAGTCTTTTCCATTCGAGTTCTTTTGCTTCATTGAAACTCACTAGATTGATTAACATGTGTAGAAGATGTTTCATCTTATGTTCCACTAGAGTTAGGAATCTCTTTATGAGTTTCCCTTAATTCATTAATCGAAGATGGTGAATTCTCAAATAACTCCATGTCATTTGATTCAATTATCACATTGGTTTCCAAACTCAAGGAACTTGAAATCGAAATATTTTGATATCAGAAATTTCTTTGTACCTTCTTCTTCATCATCTTTGTATTTGTTCTCCAAAGCATTCCATATCTCTTTTGTCGTGCTGGTACAGAGATCATACAACTGATTGGATAATGCATTGAGTATGTGACTGTGGCAAATAAATTCATCCTCTTTACACGTTTGCCTTTTGGCTCTTACATCATCGGTATCTCCATTTGTTGGTTCTGATAGTGGTGCCAACTCCGGATCAAGGATGTAGAAAATCTTCAACACTTTGAGAAGGAACTTCAACTTATCTTGCCATCAAGTGAAATTTGATCCATAGAATCTATCCAAGCAAACAAGGTCATGATTATGAGTTTGATAGTGGCCATGGTAGTTTGTTTTCCACAAAATATAATTTGAGATTGCTGAACTATTATCCTTCAAGGTGAGTAGAGAGAACAAAAAGAAGAATCAAGAACACCAAAATAGGTAGAAAGGCTCAAACACGAGATCGTTGTTCTCAGATGATATTTACCCCTTTAGAATTGTTTTTTTTTTCTTTTTTATGCTTAAAGGAACTCTTGGAAAATGGTTTGTATGATTGATCAATCATTGAAGAAGAAAACATTTAAACACTAGTATTTTACTTCCAAAACTTGTATAACACAAATGATGTTTTACTATGTAAAGATACTTTGACGGATATTTTTCAATATGGAATGATCTCACTTGTTAGTGGTTAATTATTGTTTTGAGGAATGAAGTATACCTCATATATATAGATTTCCATTCATACACTAAAGAATTCATAGGTCCATGAAAAGGTGCCAAAGCACAAACCACAAAAGAAACTGATATAAAATAAAACGTGGACTGATAAGATAAAAGATAAGGACAAATTAGTGTTTTAATGGCGAGTTTGAAATGTATAAAGTAGAATTGGTAAAATTATGTAAAGGGTCAAGAAAAATTGACAATGATTTACTAATTGACCTTTAGAATTTTGATCTTGTCCCCTTACCAAAAATTAAAAAATAAAAAATAAAAAAATAATAATAATAAAGAAACCCTTGAATAATGCTCCAAAATAGCCACTTCAAATGTATTCTCTGATTTACTATTTGACCTTTTGAATTTTGATCTTGTCCCCTTACCAAAAATAAAAAAAATAAAAAGTAAAAAGTAAAAAAATTGAAGAAACCCTTGAATAACNATTTACTATTTCACCTTTTGAATTTTGATCTTGTCCCCTTACCAAAAATAAAAACTTAGAAAATTGAAGAAACCCTTGAATAACGCTCCAAAATAACCACTTCAAATGTATCCTCCATACATCTTGACCCCCAACCCCAATTTCTAACTCCCCCAAAGCACAATGTTTGGTTATTTACTTATATTTTATTTTCTATATTCATTTCGTATGTAGGCAAAATTTATTTTTAATCAGACGTCCGCAAAGATTGGGCTATTAACAATTGGAACATACGCATGAACCTTACTTCATAATGCATGATAAATGAAGAAAAGGACATCAATTTGGCATTTTTTTCATCTTTGGGCTATACTCACGTTATGAACAAGTCAAAGCACACAACTTTAAATAAAGATTAATCCTTGAAATCAGTAATATATTAATCAAATACATCCACAGAATTCTTTAGGAAAAAGGGTTGTATGCAGGTCTCAATATTTTATCTGTAAAGTGATAATAAATTAAGTCTACTCCAAATAATTTTGGGATAATCTATGTTATTTCAATTTGTTTAATTCATTGAGACGTCTTTATAGAACAAACAAAGCAACTAGATCCAAAAGTATGGTCTATTGCCTACTGAGAAGTATATTAGTAGGCAATCCGATTACATTAACTCAAAAAGATCCATCAGATTAGGTATATACCAATTTATTGACTTAAAAATGAACTATTGAACTTTTCTTTCCCACAAGGCCTAGACTTCTGTAACATAAATATAATCCCAAAAGAAGAAATGAGACTTTGTACTAGAGCTTACATTTCAATATTGTAAGGCTCATATCACACATGTTATGGAGCTTCAGAAATGTACTTACATTTTAGTTCCCACATTCCGATCATTTCCCAAAAGCTACCCAATGCTTCCAGCATCAGGAATGCTCATAAAGTCCCACCTTCTGAATTAACTTCGACGACACCTGCAGGTCAAAATGCAGAAGATATATCAATTGAATAATCAGTCTTAGTCTTATTTATAAAAATAAGAACAAGAACATTCTCCCATTTCAAAATTCATTCACTCCTAAAAATCTTCACATGCATTCCCATTGCAATGACGGAAGAAGACAATATTGAGAGGCCGATCTCAACATGCATTTGAGCATTTAAAACATTGATCTCCTGTCCACAATTAGGAAACAAAGGCCGTCTGTAGTTGGGCTTAGACCATATTTGGAGGCAATCCATGTTCCTAGCAGGCCTGGCATTCTGAAGCATATTCACAAAACAGACAAGATGGTTGGCTGTGATGAGCAAGTGCCCTCTGATCAGCCAACAAAGGAAGGATAAATCAAGGTAGGGGAACTAAGCCGAGCTTAGCGAGGGCAAACAAGCTTTTTCTTATTTTTGTTCTTTCCACAAGATGAATGAAGTGCACTATTATGTCAAAGCAAGAAAACTGAAAATAAAGATGAAGTCAGTGAACATTTTAAATATCGATGTCATGTCACTATAATCATCAATCATACTATCTTCAATTAAATTTTAAGACATGCATTCCATATAATTATAGACACAAGAACCATGATGCCTGATATAATGTTAAAACTTGAATAATCAAGAGAAGTACCATAATGTATCTGATAAAATAAATTATAACATCTTGAATTATGGAAACAATTATCTATTGGCACTACGGTAAAGAAATTCCAAAACTGGCATGGCAACTGGCCAAGCTAAAAATATTTCAAAACTACGATTTCCTATATCAAAGCAATTGGTTTCTGCAAAACTCACGAGATTTCGAATAATAGAATATCTAATGATAAATTATCAAAAGTAAACTTAGCCATCGGATCAACGCAGGAACACTGTGTTCCTAGAAGGGACGAATTATAAACCCCTAGCCCAACATGTTTTCTACCAATTCCTCGAGCTTCTTTATCTACCCTGCTTTCCTTAACTGCTCCAAAACCATTTTACAGGCTGGCACACCCGGTCTCGATCTCTTTTCCTCAACCATCTCTTTGAGATTCTTGTATGCGTTGTAACATTGGCCCATTTTGCAGTAAACTGAAATCAGAATTCTGAAAGTATTCACATTAGTTTCAGCTTCACTCTCGTCCATTTCTTTTTCAATTTTGATGGCCATATCAATTGATTTAGACTCAGCAAACATCCGCAGCAATATATTATACGTCACAGTGTTTGGCTTACAATTTAACTCCTGAAGCACTCACATCCTGGGCTTCTGCAATGCACCTTAAAATTGGATTGAAACTAGAGGGATTTGGCTCACATCCTTTCTTAACCATTGTATTAAGCACCTTAATTGCCTCCTCTCGATCCTTGCCCTTACAAAGACTATCAATCGAAAAATTATTTGCAGTACATCCAGTTCACATGAAAGCCTTTTCATCTGATTATACACTTGCAGCACTGTCTCAGTCCTCCCAGACTTTACATGAACCCGCATCAAGTTGTTAAATGTAATTGGTGTTTGGTACACATCCCACATCAATCATCTCTGAGAAAACGGTGTATGCCCTTGTAATTTGACCACACCTACACAAAGCGTCAATCACATGCTATAGGTATACACATTGGGCAGAATACCAGCCGTCTTCATTTCCCGAAGCACCCTCTCAGCCTCAGAAGTATTCCCAGCCCGTCATCACACGTGTTCTAAACTCGTATACAACAAAATGTCCAGCTTAAACTTATCCTTCAAACTATCAAAAAAGGCTTGCGCTTCCAACGCTCTTCTTTTCTTACACGGTATACCAATCACTATAGAAAAAGCATTGCAATCAGGCTTGCAACCATAATCCTCCAATCTATTAAACGCATGTATAGCCTCCGCATCAAGCCCAGCACGAACATAACGCCGAATCAAAATCGAGAAAGTATCAATTGGGATTTCTATACTTTACGATTTCATTAAGTCAATCAAGTGCCAGGAGACATTAAATTGACGCACCTTTCCAGAAAGATCGATCATTTTGTTGTAGGCTTCCACCAATAAAGGTGAAATTTCAAACAATTCTGATGGTAACGTGGCCCAATTGAAGAAAGCGAGCGCTTGAATAGAGGGAATGCCGTGGCGGGGGCGGAGCATTTCTGAATCACACAGCGGATTAAGGAAGGGGATAGAGAATTGACTACGGAGATTTTGGAGAAAGAGTAGGGAATGTCACAGTATGGTTTAAAGTGCTAATGCTAGGGTTTAAGGGGTTAGGGGTTTTCCCGACAATGGTCTTTAATCAAGGAGTACAATTTATCGGCGACTAAAGTTTCCTCCGGGGATAAGTTGGCGGTGACGATGTCGGTTTCTTCAACGTCGTTTTGAAGGTGGAGTGCGTCTGAGGAGGCGGAGAAGGGTTTTAGGGCGCGTTTGGCGAGGAAAAAATGCAACGGAGGGTAAAGATTAAGCGCGGGCACAGTTTGGTGAGACCCATTTGGAATTGCAAGCTTCTTTACTGCTTACTTTATTTCCACCGTGCTACGGGCCCAAAATGAGGTTGGTTCATAATTTTTTCAACCAAAACACGCTTCATGTATTGGAGAATATTACGCAATCACCTGTCTTCAACAAAAGAATTGAGCCAACTAATGCTGGAAATTAGTTTGTTATTTTATTTGTTCTGTGTTGAATTGTACATAAGGGCAATATTGTACTTTCCTTCTATAGGTTGTTAAAATATTTCTTTGTAATTGTATTTATATATATTGATACACAAACAGCAAAATATACGGGAAGTAAGATTCTCTCTTCTCATCATTTTCTTCCTTCTTCTGGTTCTCTGTTCAGCTATTTTTTGGGCTTTCCTCCATTTCATTTCATTTTATTACATGGCATCAAAGCTTCCTTGGATCCCAAACACTCGTCATGCCTAGCAATTCTGATAAAGAAGACTCCAGCACAATAACCAAAACCATGGGTGAAAGGTATCTCAATTTTTCAGATCCTTTCAATCCCTTTCGTATAAACAATGGTGATAATCCAGCAGCTGCTTTGGTCTCGGACCTTTTAACCACTAATAACTACGTTAGTTGGTCTCGCGCTATTAGTCGTGCCCTTCATGCCAAGAACAAGCTTGGTTTTATCAATGGCACTTTTCCAAAACCAACAGATGCTGCAAATCCCCTACTTGAAGCTTGGGAACGATAGCTTCAAAATTCTTTGAGTGCATTTGTTAAATCCAGCCTTGCTCTGGTAGATGATTCCAACATAAGTGTCAGTTTTCTCACTAATCATTGTGATATTCAGGACATGTGCAGCTTGAGGATGATTAGCAGGGCTAGAAGAGTTGGAGGTCTCTATGTTGTTGATTCTATATCTGATGAATTCAATAATAAGTGTAATACTTCAAATGATGTCTGTAAACATGTTTTTTCGGTTTTGAACAATGTGCCATCACGTGTTTGGCATAATCGTCTTGGTCATTTGTCATTTAGAAGGCTGGAAACTCTGAGGGATCAACTCAAATTTAAGAATGATAAATGCATTACACCTTGTTATATTTGCCCTTCAGCTAAGCAAAGAAGGCTATCTTTTTTATCAAACCATCACTTATCTGCCCATGCGTTTGATCTTATTTATTATGATACTTGGGGTCCATACAATTCTCCAACACGTGATGGTCACAGATACTTTCTTACTCTCGTTGATGATAGTACCAGGTTTACTTGGGTTTATTTAATGAAACAAAAATTAGATGTTCATCATATCATTCTCAGGTTTTTCAGCCTCATTAAGACACAATTTAATAAAGTGATTAAAGCCTTCAGATCGGACAATACCCCTGAATTACAATTCACAGTTTTTTTTAGTTCAAAGAGTGTTCTACATCAATTTTCCTGTGTCGAAAGACCTGAGCAAAATTCAGTAGTCGAAAGGAAGCACCAGCACTTACTCAATGTAGCTAGGGCACTATTTTTCCATGCTCAAGTTCCTATATCTTGTGGGGGTGACTATGTCCTCACTACAACCTTCCTGATAAATAGAACTCCTTCACCAATTTTACAACACAAGACACCATATACTTTACTCTACAAAGCCCATGTTGATTACAGCTTTCTTAGGGTCTTTAGGAGCTTGTGTTTTGCATCCACCATGCCCTTTCATCGTCTTAAACTTCAGCCTAGAGCAAAGGCTTGTGTTTTTGTTGGCTAGCATCCTGGTATCAAAGGATACAGGTTATATGATATTGAGTCAAAGGGGTTCTTTATCTCCAGGGATGTGATCTTCCATGAACACATTTTTCCTTTTCACTCTATCAAAAAATCTGCTGATTTTATTGATCAATTTCCACATCTTGTTCTTCCTAATCCTTTTCCTGATAATGTTTGTACATTATCAGATCCCATGTCATTCATCCAGATTCAAATCAGTCTCTGACATCAGACAATATTATCAATTCACCTTCTCAAAATCTTGTTTCCTATCCTACCTCTCCAGATCAACATATCATTTCAACTGATATTCCTACTACTGCTCCTTTTGATCCTCCTATCAGGAGGTCTCTTCGTCATAACAAACCTCCTTCATACTTAAAGGATTTCCATTGCAACCTTTTATCTCACCAATCAATCATTATTGATAATAACTCTTATCCTTGTCCCTTAAGTGATTACATCACTTATGACATATTATCTTCTTCCCAAACTCACCTTCTTGTCAATAGCTCATCCAACATTGAGCGTCAGTACTATCAGCAAGTTGTACAACACACTCATTGAAGAGATGCCATGGCTGTTGAGTTAGCTACCATGGAACATAACAAAACCTAGTCCATCACTACTTTGCCTAAAGGAAAGCATTCTATAGGATGTAAATGGGTTTACAAAGTCTAGTATAACTCTGACGGGGCTGTTGATAAGTATAAAGCACGATTAGTGGCAAAGGGATACACTCAACAAGAGAGACTTGATTTCTTGGAAACTTATTCTCCAGTGGCAAATTTAGTAACTGTGAAGCTTCTACTGGCTATTGCTGCTATAAATCGATGGCACATTATTCAGTTGGACGTTAATAACGCATTTCTCCATGGTGATTTGTTTGTAGAAATATACATGGACTTACCATTGGGTTATAAACCTTCTATCCCATCTCACAGACAGGGGGAGCATCTAGTCTGTCGTTTGCACAAATCCATTTACGGGTTGAAACAGGTTTCACGACAGTGGTTCTCTACGTTTTCTCAGGCTCTTTTGCTACAAGGTTTTCAACAGTCAAAATTCGATTACTCATTATTTACTAAGGGTACTGGAACAAGTTTTGTTGTCATTCTCATGTATGTTGATGACATAGTCATCACTGGATCCAACTTAGAAGTCATCAATGATTTGAAATCTGTTTTAAACAAGTAATTTAAGCTCAAAGATCTGGGGAAGCTTAAATATTTTCTTGGCGATTGCTAGATCCAGCCAAGGGATTGTCTTGTCTCAAAGACATTATGCACTTCAATTACTGGAAGATACGAGGTTCCTTGCCTGCAAGCCTACTACTCTTCCTATGGATCCCAAATTTCGTTTCAACTCCTTTGAATTGGAGTTACTGGAAGATGCCTATATGTACAGAAGATTAGTTGGGAGATTGCTCTATCTTACTATTTCTAGACCTGACATTATATTTGCGGTGCACAAACTCAGTCAATATGTTTCTCAGCCTAGAAAGCCTCACTTGACAGCAGTTCATCACCTATTGCAATACATCAAAGCTACTCCAGGCCAAGGTCTTCTGTTTTCTGCTGAATCTTCATTACAGTTGCGTGCCTTTGCTGATGCAGATTGGGGGTCATGTTTAGATTCCAGAAAATCAGTCATAGGTTTTTGCGTTTTTCTTGGAGATTCTATGGTGTCTTGGAAAGCTAAGAAACAAAGCACTGTATCCAGATCATCTGCAAAAGCTGAGTATCGTGCATTAGCCTCTACTGCTAGTGAACTCATGTGGATTCATCAATTGCTCCTTGATCTACACATAAACTCCAAAGTTCCTGCCTTAATTTTCTATGATAACCAGGCAATCGTTCATATTGCTACCAACCCCACTTTCCATGAAAGAACCAAACATATAGAGATAGATTGTCATTTTGTAAATGGTAAAATCAATGATGGTTTCATCAAATTGCTACCAGTTCGAACTAATCATCAGTTAACTGATATTTTCACAAAGTCATTACCAGCATCAGTTCTGTTACCTTTTCTATCCAAGATAGCTGTTATTGACTTGCATCATCAATCTTGAGGGGGAGTATCAGAGTCGATGGAAGCAGTAGCTGGAAATAATTAGGCGCCAAAATTAGTTTAGATTGATGAGCTGTCATAACTATATTTCCCGCCTTTTACTTCCTTTTCATTCTATATTTATACTGTAAATTCACTTTATTTCAATCAGAAGAAAGAGATATTTTTCTCCCCAATATTCTCTCTTATTCACAATACTACCCGCCTCCTCATGCGGCCAGATTCTCGAGGCGTCCCCCAGCGCGATGTACTGAGAGAGAATGCTCGAAAGGAGTTCGAAGAGGCCCGGTTCGAGAAAGATCCGGAAATGGTTACTAGGCTGTTGATTGGACATCGAGATGCTGTGCAGTCGGCTCTTGATAAGCTTGTCGAGATGCAAAAGCAGTAAATTGAGAAGGAAAGAAATTAATAAAATCGTCGCTGAGTTTTTTGGTAATAAATGAAATAAATTTCAATTTTTTTTTTAGTACTTTTAGTTTC